CAGGTGGGATCCATCTAGTCCTATCTAGACCTCTGGCACGTAGAAGTCTACATCTAATATAGGCTCCCTTCATACACGAGGAAGAATTAAGCATCTTTAGCACATGAGTCATGTCATCCTAAAGTAGATGCCTAGAATAGGTCAGATGATTTGTGCCCTAAAATTGCTCTTATTTCTCTGCAATAAAGAACAAGTAGTTTAGATCTCAGTGTCTCCATTGTAGCAGCCTCAAGTGAGGTGAGATGAGTTAATACTCTACCATATCTGGGTTTATATCATGCTTCAAAGTACCCTAAAAATTCTTATTTGTAAAGAAACTGAAATAGCTTTACTTTCTATATTATTTTTTATTTATAAAAAATAAGCAGCTTTTAAAAGTTTGCTGACTCAAGACATTTTAGTAGAAATGGCAAATGCTACGTGTCCCATGGAAAAGTTGTAGCACCTCTCTTTTTAATAGCATAAGTCTTCCAGTTTGCTATCTGCAAGGTTGGGAAATAAATGAGTGAGGTACGTTGTAGGTCCAGAATAGGATCTGGTACTTTTGGTAAAATTATGCAATCTAGGGAATGAAAAAAAAAAAAAAAACCAAACAAAAACCCAAACATTTTCTCATGGCAGGCTGATTTATTTTTCTAAATGACACTCAAAAATTGACATGTGAAAAGTTCATGTAAGGCTGAACTGATTGGCAGAATACAGGTGAAACCGTTTTGTGTTTTTTTTAAATAAAACAAACTCACGATGTCTAAAACTTGCCAGAGGTCTCACATTAGTGTGTCACTTGTGAGGAGAATGTGTGCCAGGAACTCCTCAAGAAACGCAGGGTCCTTCTGACCAGCTCTGCTCGCAGGAGTTAAAATCCTGCATAAAGCTGATGAGTAAGCTCTTGATGACTCACTGTGGCAGATGCAGTCCCTAATTCCAGGAGGGTATAAGGGAAGTGGGTGTGAATCTTGAGTAGAAGGGAGCTAGGGGTAGGGATGTTCCTGCCTCAGTGTCTTGGGGATAAAAGTGTAGGTTTTTAATACAGCCCCAGCTATCAGTAAAGCCAAACTTCTGTAAGGGGTAAGTTTGACATTACACATCACAGATAGATTTTATGTGAAGCAGGGTTGGAACACCACCTACTCACAGATGGGTATAATTTTGGGGATGTCCTGCATAATTCATGTGTGGCTTTGATACTTATGAGTAATTCAGACATCAAAGCCTCAACTTAGATAACACTTTTATAACACTAAACTTCCTATAGCCAATAATCTGTGGGCTTTCATTTAAATTCCTTTAAAAGAAAGCAACGATACGAATACTTTCCTCTTTACCTTCAGATATTTTTCATAAGGTATGCTGGTGTGAAGTGCAAGATAGAAAATACTGAAGCCTGGACTAGAGGAAAAAAATAAAATTCCATATAATACTCTTCACTGGGATTAAAAACGTAGATTTTAAAGCACTGGAAAGGCTGGGAACCTCTTTCGCAGTTGTTGCTAGACTGAGAGCACACCAGATACCAGGCCTTTCAATCACTCTGCAGCATTCCCTCCGCTTTGCCAGTGGCACAAACCTTCACTTTTCAGCAGTCCAATTTCCTAACAAGCAATTTTATGTTCTCTTCCAAGTTATCCATTACGCATGGAAAAACCTTCCCATTAATAACCGTAAAGCTCCTTTATTGTTCTCCTTCAAATCTCCTTAAAACTTCCTTCTGACACCAAACACTTGTCATTGGCCAGGCCTGTTGCTTTTTATTCTCAAGGCTGCTTTTCCCTTATCCTTCCCCCATGGGTCTGTAGTATACACCTGTTGTCTTTCATCATGGGTTAAGATCATAAGCTCTTTGGGCATTGACCATCTCTCTTATTACATGTGTCTACAATATCCGACACAATGGGGCTGTGAGCCCTCAACGGGGCCTCTGGGTACTGCCCTGATCCAGTTGATAAAGAATAATGATTTTTGACATGGTGAGTTCTGCAGTTTTTCCCAAGTCATTCTGCAGTTGTTCATGCTGGTACAACCAGCGTGTGTGTGTGAGCAGAGTCCTTAAACCTGATCTATAGGGTAAATGCTATGGAGCTATTTACCGGAGAGCGCTCGCTTTTCCTGCTTTGCTGTTGGGGGGCTCGTCTGCTCTCGCACATCAGAATGCATGGACTGACATGCAGCAACTGTTTCTTTTTGTGGGTTTGTACAGAATTAGTGCCATGGCACCCTGCTCTGAAGCTTCTGCATCCTGTCCTTCAAACAGTAATAAAGCCTGGTGGAGTCAAATGAAAGAGAGGTGGCTCATGTGCCACTGGTGTGGAGTGTGTCAGTTCCCTGAAGGTCTGTGGGGATTCAGGGCACGGCCTTTCCCTGCTGCAGTTTCCCTGCTAGACATGGAAACCAGAAGTCTCTTTCCTTCCCCTCAAGTGTTAAAGTCACAGTGGCAAGTTGGGGGATGCAGAGAGGCTGCAGCAGTCAGAGCTGGGCTGCTGGCTTTTGTGGTGGGGAAGTCGAGGAGAGCCACCCCCTCCACCGCACGCCCACTGGGCAGGGGGACATGCAAAGTCGATTATTTTTAATTAACTCCTTTGTAAAATTCTCCTTCTCCGGAACTCTGTTTCCAGCCTCCACCAGCGACCTTCCTGGGCCCTGCCACCTCAGCGATGCACATCATCATTCACACCATGCAATCTCTCCCCCCAGTCCCCGAGATATTATGTTTCTTCTCCTTTTCTCCCTGCCTCTCTCTTTTCCCTATCACCCCCAAAAGAGCCCGTCTTCAGGTTTTGCACTTAAACGCCAGAGGCTGCCTCTCCCTCCGCATCCTGCCTGGTCCTTGAGCTCTGCCCAAGCAAACCTTCTGCAAAAGGGATCCTTCTGTCCCTTTTCTAATTAATGCAGCTCTATCAGAGGGAAGCAAAACCACAATAACATCCATCCTCGGCATCATAAGAACAAACAGAAGAACAAACAGAACTCCTCTCCCCCCTTGCCCGCTCTCTCCTGGCGGTGTTAAATAACTTTTTTTCGGTGGGGGCGGGGGGGGAGAACACGTACTTCGCCCCGGCACCCCCGCCTCCCCCCATGCCACCTCCTGCCCGCCTCTCCCTTCCCTCCACCACGCTCTGAACAACTTGGGCCGATCCCGGGCGCGGGGAGACGCCGTTCGCCCCCGGAGCACCCCGGGCGGCGGCGGAGGCGGCGGGGGGGGGGGGGGCGGGCGGGGGGGGGGGGTGCGGAGGCGGGTAGACCTGGCAGCCCGGACCGGTCCCGGAGGCGGGTAGACCTGGCAACCGGCTGCGAGGGCGGTTAGACCCGCCTGGACCGGGAGACTGCGGCTGCCGTATCCCGGTCCTCCCGAGTTGGAAGGATGGGGAGGCGGGGGGCGGGGTTATTTATGC